GGCTGGTGTCGAAGACGTTGTCCACCTCGGACTGCGTGGGCATCTTGGGCAGGTACTCGTGGCGGTTCATCACCTCCACGATGTTGATGATCTTCTCGCAGAGCTTCTCGCCCACCTTCTCGCGGCAGATCTGCCGCTCCTGCTCGTTGGCCAGGTTCACCACGTTCACCTTGATGGTCCACAGCTCCCAGGGGATGCACTCGTCCGAGAAGGGCCAGCGCGACTTCTTCTTCTGGTAGAACTCGAGCGAGATCTGCCCCACGCCGTCGCTGCCCGAGCCGCGCAGCGCGTCCTGCCGGGAGGCACCGCGCTGAGCGGGGACACGCGGCCACCACGGGGCCACCGCCAGGGACCGCATGGAGCCACAGAGCGGCGGAGCCGGCAGGGACCTCTGGGACCACCTAGTGCAGCCCCCTGGCCGGGCAGGGGCACCCGGAGCACGTGAACAGGGGGACACCAAGGGCATGTGGCATAAGGTGACACCAAGAGCATGTGGCACAGGGTGTCACCTAGAACATGTGGCACAGGAGGACCCCCAGAGCATGTGGCACAGGGTGGCACTCGGAGCACATGGCACAGGGTGTCACCTACAGCATGTGACACAGGGTGACACCTACAGCACATGGCACAGGGTGGCACCTGGAGCAAGTGGAACACAGGGATACCCAGAGCACGTGGCACAGGGTGGCACCTGCAGCACGTGGCACAGGGGGACCCGCAGAGCACGTGGCACAGGGTGGCACCTGCAGCACGTGGCACCCGCTCGCACCCAGGCGGTTTTGAAGCTCTCCGAAGAAGGAGCCTCCCCAGCTCCCTGAGCCAGGGCCCCATCCCTGCTCACCTTGAACTCGCCGACCGCCTTGCGCAGGGCCCGGTCGAGCTCCTCGGAGGAGACGCGCACGTAGGCGAAGTCGATGAAGTCGCAGTCCACGTCGCGCGTGCCCACGGTGCCGATGGAGTAGGTGCCCTCCTTCTTGTAGTGGAACTTGCCGGTGCTGCGGTGCAGCAGCACCGTGTGCAGCACGGCCAGCGCCGCCTCCTCCACCTGCCGCGGCTCCACCGACACCTCCAGCACCTCCGCGCGGCAGTTCATGGCGCTGCGGGACCGGCCCGCGGGGCCTCCGCCGGCCC